ATTAATAGTTTTGTTGTTCTCAAATTAGTAATTACTTGTGACTCTAATAACCATGTTCCATTTAGTTTATTTATTGCCACCTTCCAATCTGCATGATTTATGGTCACAACAGGCAAAGATTTGTTTTTGTAGTCTTCTATCACTGTCAGCTTGATTCTTAGATCCTGGTGAGAGAACTATGTCTCCAAATAACAGAAAATAAAAATATGCAATATAGCTAGATGACAGCAAGGGAGAAAATAGGCCATTCCATAGAATTAAATCTAATTTCAAATTCTGTCCTGATTTTTTAGCTCTAAAGGTGATCAGAACATTTTTATAAAGAAGTAGTTTGATTCTGCTGTGGGTGTTTACCTTGTGAAATGGTAGTATTCTGGTGTGAATGAAAATCTCAAATCTCTCCTGTGAGAGAGGTGAGACATTTTTTATATTAATTGGGGGGTGTCATGATTTTCTAGTTTGCACAAAGGCATTCTGGTGGCTATTGAATTAGAGTACAATATTCCCTAAATCTTCTGGATTCGTATAGACCAATGATTTCAGGAGCACGATTTTCATGATTCCACTTTGTGGTTAATGTTACTGAAGCCCTCAGCCTGTCACTTAGAATATAGCCCCCAAAGCAGACAGAGCCAGCCCTTTGCAGTGCAGTAAAGGGGAGACTGAAGGTCTTTCCTAGGATAATTTTCCTCAGATCAAATTTTGTGGTTACATTGTCACTTTGTGGCTCTATCTTTGCCAGAAGAGTCCAAGGAAGTGGATAGATTCCAGTACCCTCCACCCATCATGCTTTACACCACCTCCAGTTAGAGAAGACTCCTGGCTCCACACCAGGTTTCCAGAGTTACCAGGCTGAGAGCCAGAATTGGCGGGAAGACCAGTCTAGGGAAGGGCAAATGATGCATGTCTTCAGAGAAGCTAAGGAGCCCAAACTTTATTTTTGTGGGGATCATTGAGACATTTATTCTGCCTGAACATTTCCACCACTTTCCTCACAAGGGTCTCTGTCTTAAAGCACAGGACCAAGCAAAATGCTTAATGAAGCATACAGGAGGAAGGGGCGTGCAAGTGACTTGGGAAGAAGGGTTGGGGCCAGGGAGAAAAGAGAAGGGTCAGGTTACAAGTTTTCACAAAGTCTTTTGAAAACATGCTCTGGAGACGGCCAAATTCTGGGACTCATGGAAGGCCCTTGAAGCTTTTCGGGCAATCTGATTTGGGTACCAGTTGTGGAATGTGCTGTCATCTTCTTTCAAGCTTTACCACAAGGGTTTGTTAGGAAGGTCGTAGGTTGGCAGGTGAGGCTGTAGTTCGCAGGGGACCTAGGCAGTACCCTCAATTTAACGTAGAGCTCTTTGGCCCAAGTGCCCGAAGCCGATAAGGCTCCAGAACTCAGCGAAGGGAAGACCCCGTGACTCTGGAGCTAGGAGCAGGTGCGGTGCTGACCCTCAGTCCCCAGAAGGTGCGGGTGGGGTGAGATTGCCGTCCACTTAGATTCAGCAGCCTGACATAGCCAAACGTGCTGGGCGCAGGTTAATCCCCCCACAACAATCCTCAATGGGGGGGGGGGTCCCTGACTTTCCCCGGGGCCAGATGACTCCCAGCAGTATTGTTCCTGGGCGCCAATGCCCGCTCTCTGAGTTTTCCAAATCACCCATTTGCCTCTCTCAAGTGAGCTGTTGGCACTCCTCCAGAAGCCTCCCCAACTCCCAGCTCCAGCTCCTGCCAGAAAGAGCGGGGGAGGGGAGCATGTGAATCGGGAGAATGAAAATTTTAAAAGAACGATTCCATTCTCCAGGAAAAGGTAGCGAGGGGAAGCCAAACAGTAAGAACTTAGTCGGAAATGCAAACCGAGCTCCACTGTCCCGGGCGCATACAAACGACCGAAAGACAAGTCAGCCAACGCATTCGGCGGCTTCCCAGAAAGGGCCTCATGAATGAGAATGGGTTGCTAGGTTTCCTCCCTCCCGACAATGCTTCCCACAAGACTTTCACCGCCAAAAGAAAACAGGCAGGGCCCGGTGACTGCACAGCGGGGGGGAGGGGAGGGGGAGGGGGGAACAGCGCGCCAAGCCCACGAGGCCGCCGGCGGCTGCTCCCGCCTTCAGGACCCTGGAGAGCTCCCGCCGCGCCCCTGGGACCCGAGCCCAGCAGTGCGCAGCGAGCTCCCCTACCACACTGTCACTTTTATTCGCTGCTTTCCGCCTCCACCTTCATTCTTCTTGGCAACCACCCCTCCTGTTTTTCACAGATTCAATTGTGGGGTTTTGTTGTTTTGCTTGCGGGAGGTGTTTGGATTGGCTGAGTTTGGTTCCGGTTTGTAAATACACTGAATGTTAGCACACCAAGATGCACTGAAAACGTCTCAAAGATGGGAGCCTGAATGAGGCAAGTGGTCTTCAATAAGCTCAGTTTCTTTACTTTATAAATGAAGTAGACGAACTCAAAGAATAAAGAATCATTCCCAGGGTTAGCCGTCAAGGCTGAGTCTAGAACCCTAGGCTCCTGACTTCTAAACTAATGATTTCCAAGAATCACTTTTTTTTTTCACTTTCCAAGAGACAAATAATGCTTTTTAACTTTATCGATTAGGTTTCCTAATCAACAAGTGGAAAATGTGTGTGTGGTGGTGGTGGGGGGGGGAATCTGTGTTCCTGAGAATAAAATTAACAGAGTTGGGAAAGGGGGCCTATAGAGTGTGTATTTGCAGTAACACACCAACCTTGAATCTTGACTTACTCTATTATACTCAGCACATCCAAAGACAAATCAGCCAGTCCTTTCCCCACACAGCCTGAAGTAGGCCTGGGATTCTGCAGCTCCTATCCAAGTATCCCCTAAACAACTATCCCAATGGAACCTGGTAGTCAAATCCAACTCTGTGCCTCTGGCAGATAGAATTCCAGTCAAAAAGGACAGTGGGACCTTCTACACATCACAGAACCACATTAAATGTGAACTCCTTGGGAATGTTAACTTGAAGATTCTGATACTGTGGTTGGGATGAGGCCAGAGATTGTGCGTTTCTAAGGAGCTCATAGGTGTTGGCAACTCAGCTGGTCTACAGACCAGTGTCTTAAGTTACAAAGTTGCGGTTAGGGGGGCTAACTTGGGCCTTTCCTTTTTCTTTCATCGACTTTCTCTTGCACCCCCAAAGTACCCCCAAAGTATCCCACTGAGTGGCTGGACACAACAATAATAGTGTACTGGTGTTTTGTTTTTCTCTCTCCCATTCTCGTCCCCTTCCCTTCCCACCACCGGTCTTGCACAGGTCTAAGACTGGCCCACTGCCCCAAAGCTGTTCAGCCTTCTTTCTAGCCCGTTCTTCAGCTTCACGTGGCTCTTCTCTCACCTTCTGCAGCGACCCCCTCCTGAGGTTCCCCGATGGCTTCCGGACTTCTTCCCTCCTCTTCCTGCCCTGCCAGCGGCCGGACCCTCATAGGGTCATCAGGAGCTGCCCTGCAGGCTCTTGCTCCTGCTTGCGGCATTGCAAGCATCGTCTGGCCGACCCTCCAGAGATCCCCAGCTGAAACTAACCTGCGGCAGTCTGGCTGGGCACAAAAAACCAAGAGGCCACAAAGCCTTGTAGGTTCAAACAGCAACTCTTTATTCCTCACCTCTCACCGCACTGCACACACACTACTTGGGAACCCACTCCTTCCACCCGGCTCCGTGCTCCCCCTCTCCCCTCTCCCCTGGGAGAACTGCACAGGAACTCCAAAGTAGCGGGCGCCTGAAGCCGCTCTATTCTCCGAGCAGGGTCCATATACAACTCAATCAATCCAGCATCACAGCAGTTATATACAGCTTAACTCAAATCATCATCTCAATGGTTGGCTGGCGTCACCTTTCAACCATTTCCTCTGGCAATATGCCAGGCGTCATTCTGCCTTGGCTGTGGCTCTCAACACTGACCCACCACGTGTAGAAGCCCAAAGAGGACACCGGAGCCAGAGTTCGCCCTTGCCTGGTGAGTACTGAGGTCTACACCATGCCCCATCTCCAAGCCTCACACGAGACTCCAGCTTCTCCCACTTTTCCTAACCTGGACTGACCCACTCCACCCGGGACCAGCAGTGGAAGGATGTAAAGTCCCGGCAGAGCTGGACACTTTGGAGGAAAGGGCGCCCGCGGATCCCTGACTGTCCCCACCTAGGAAGGAAAGCTAAGCTTCTTTTTCCAAGCCATTCATTTCATTTCCCCCTTAGAAGGGGGAAGGAGTCCTCGCCCTCTTTGGAAGCTGCTTTTCAAACTCTCAGCTTTAAGCTCTCCTCCCCCTCCTAGGAGCCTCCCGCAGACACTCCTCCGCTCGCTCCCCGCGCTCACTCTCCCACTCCCCTGCCCTCTCTGCTGGCAAGGGAGGAAATGACGTGATGTTATTTTTGTGTCAGGTCAGTTTCCAGCTTCAATGTAGCCCTCCAAGCTCGGGCTGGCGGGAGCACTGACCGAGCGGCTCGGCGGCGGCCCATTCCCGGGGATACACTGTGGGCTGCAAGGACACCCTGCGCTCGGTGCCCCCAGAGCTGGGCACCAGAGTTCCTCGGCCGCGCTGAGTCTCCACTCCCCACGAACCCCGTAGTCCCTGGAGAAGGGAGTACACAGGGGGGCTGCTGGCCGAGGGATTCAGCCAAATTCTGAGCCTAGGATTAGTTCTCCCTTTACTCCACCCTGCTGTGGGTCACCAAGTGCGGCCTCCAGGTCCTGGCTGGGTATGACAGGGTTAGAAACCCGCCCCCCCCCGTTTCTAGTGCGGGAGAACCGGACTCAGAGACTCTTCAGGGATGGGGCGGGGGCCAGGCTCTGAAGCACGGGGAACCCGGGACAAGGTAGGGGGCTGCCCTGCTGTGGCGAGGCAGTCCACCAGGGTGACTCTGGAGATGGAGCACTCCCTCGCTGGCGGCGCCGTCCCCCGGGCCAGCGCGCTCCTCCCTCTTCTCCACTTCATTCACCAGGTCTCAGCTCGCAGTCCCGCTCACTGGAGTCTCTTGCTCGGCCCCCGCACGCGGAGAGGAGGGCGTAAGAGGGGACATTTTGCAGACGCCCTCTACACTCGTCTAGCGTTTCCCCCACACTCTCAGTGTTTCCCAACCTGGGGCTGGAGGAAGGGAACTGAGGCCCGATCACGAGTCCCGCCCTCGTGGTGCCTGGAGTGGTGTCCCCAGCCCCCGTGACGGGGAGGACGCCGCCGCCAGAGGGAGGCGTGACCTGGGATTGCCCAGCCGCGGGAGGAGGCGTGAGGGGGCGGGGAAGAGGCATTGCAGTGGAAGGAAGAGGAAGGGAGAAGAGGGCGCGCAGAGACCCGGAGCTGCAGGAAGGGGAAAGCGGAGGAAAGCATTCGCGGGCGTAGTAAAGACAGCCAGTCGGCTTTGTAATAAAGATCAGGAACACGCCGGACGCATGCGCACGGCCAAGGGAGGCGAGTCGCCGGGTGCTTCCCCTCCAACAACTCTGGTGGACGGTGGGATCGTGAGTACCCAGCTTCCTTCACCGTTTCCTTTTTCCTCTCACACTCGCCCGGAGGCCTGGGGCTGGGAAGTGGCAGAGGCCGGGCGGGGCGCGCACGCTCGGCGGGACCTGGGGCTCTTGTCGCCACGGTGGCGCGGGAGCTCGTGGGGATCGGGTCCAGCCTCCTTCGTTAGCCGGTGCCTGTGGCGGGTGGGGGGACTGGCTGAGGAGGTGTCGCTGTCTAAAGGGGGTGCACAGGCCACCACTATCAATATCTATCCGATCGTTCGGAGCGTCGCGGGGTTCCATCTCTGTGGCCTCGGCTCTGTGGTTGGGTGGGGGACGCGGGGGTCTGGCTCTTAAAGTCTAAAATGCATATTGACCATCCCAAGCACATCTGAGAAACTCCGGACCAGTAGAGAGGTCGGCATTCCGACTGGATGGGGAGACGTCTGTGGAAGGGGCTGGGCGCCCGAGGCGGGCAATTCGAGCGCAGGTGGGAAGGGAAAGGAGACACTCCCAGAATCTCAGTACCTTTCTTCGGAGAAATGCCATCTAGACAGCAGCGGGGAGCAGGGCCGGAAAGTGGGCATCCGGCACCAGCACCCTGGAGGGGCCGGCTTGGTACCGGCTTTTACCGGGAGACTCTATTCACGCCCTAGAAAACTTAAGGGGCAGAAGTGTCGTTTAAGGTGCGGGCGCCGCGGGGAATTTCTTTAAACAAACCCAGGTGGTTGATCTTCCGTACTCCGAGCTGCTCTAGGTAAGTTGGAACGAGTCTGGGCACCCCGGCTGCGGGAGAGGCTGGCTGCTAGGTGGGGAGGGGGGGTGGGCGGTGCAGAGGAGGGTCTGTGGCACAGCTGCCTTCCAGCATTGGGGGACGGGGGTGGAACTGGAGCTTTAGGAAAGGGGGTCACAATGTGGGATGGCCCTTTTGGGGATCTATGAGCGCAGTGATTTCCCCACCCACTCCTACCCGGGAATGGGTAAGGGAGGGACCTTGGGAGAGGCGGCGCGCGGAGGTAGGAGTGGGCGTTTTAGGGAAGAGGTTTTTGTGCTCTAAGACTTTCCGCCAGGGGGAGGAGTAGGCGAGCGAAGGTGGGCATTGGGAAGGGGTTGTCCAGGATCTTTGCAACCTACCTACCCCACTTGCACATTTAGAAGGGGCCTTGGGAGAAGAGGTGCGCAGGCACGGGGATAGGTCGTGAGCTTCCCAGGTTCGCCAGCATCCAGGGAAAGTCCAGGCGATGGTCAGGGCCAGCAAGCGACACCAGCTGCAGGCAGGACGTGGCTGTGAAGAGTGTCTGGGGCAGGCTAGGGGGATCCTGAAGGAAGCATTTGCTGCCCTCGCAGAGGACAGCACAGAGAAGTGAATGTAGTAGTACAGGATTTCTGTCCTTAAGGAGGAGAAAGCTAGAGGAAAAAAATCTCTTTCCTCTTCAGAATGTGGCACAGGCCAATCACTCCACGCGAATTCCCCATGCCATACTACCCTAGACGTTCGGCTGAGGTTCATGAGTTGTGGTAACTGCAATCAGTGCCCTCAGTGCTGGAGCGACCCTCTAGACCAAAGGCTAGCAAAAGCACTCCATTGTTTACCAGGTGCTCTGAATCGCCTTGGTAAAGTGTGGGGCGATGGAAGCTCCAGCATCAATCACACCCTCCTTTGGTCAGTGCCCATCCTCCTGGGCACAGGTGGCAGGGCCCTGGCTTGTCTTCATTTTACTTTTGGTGGTTCCAGACCATGGAGTTAACCAAAAAAAAAAAAAAAAGTCCAAGTTAACCCAGGAGTCTGACTTCCTTCCCAGACTTGGCAGGGACATTTGTAATGGAATGACTCAGTCTGTAAGTTCTTTGACACAATCATAATTTGCAGTTTACTAGTTTTTTATTTTTTTTAATAAAAAATTATTACTTAATTTTTTTGCACAAAATCTAAATTTCTATTGGGTCCCATCTTGTTTATCTTCTATTTATGAAGCAGTATCTTTTGTATTGGGTATCAGTAACACATATAACAGGGATTATTGCCTAATAGGTTATATTGCCTGGAATTTATAAACCACGGCTAAAATCCCAACCTAGATTTGTGACCTTAGACCCACATCTAGACACAACCTCTCTGTGCTTTAGTTTTATCATCTGTAAAATGTGGATAAGTAAAAATCCTATCTCATGGGGTAATTGCTTCATTCAGTTGAGCTCTTATAACTGCCTGGCACATACAAAGTGGAATTTCTTATTACAATTAAATTGGTGCTAAATGGGCTAAGTGGACTTCAAAATGTAAAAATATCAGAAGAAAAATTCATTTTTTGTATGCTGTAAAGAGTACACAATAATATAGGCATCCATTATTAAAATCAGCAAAACAGTAAATATGTGATATCAATATCTCAATCTGAATATGGTGCAGTTTCATATCATCTGGATCCTTTAATTTCAAATAATTATGAGGTATTTACATTTCAACTTTCAAACAGCATTCTAAGAAAATTCTTTCTAACCCTCAAAAGAGTTCACTTTGTAAGACATAGATTTTAAAAAAACACATCATCTGGATATTTACAGAAAATCCAGTATCTTCATTGAATTACTTCAATGAGTTTATTTTATTTCAAAATAAAAAACTTCATTTATTTTATTTTATTTTATTTTAATATTTTGGTACCAGGGACACTTAACCACTGAGCTACAGCCCTTTTTCTTTTTTATTTGGAGACAGAGTCTTGCTAAGTTGCTTAGGGCCTTGCTAAGTTGCTGGGGCTGGCCTTGAACTTATGACCCTCAAGTTGCTGAGTCCATTTTATTTAAGAGATTCTAGAAACTTACTTAGAAATTAGAAGGGCTAACTTCTCTGAGATTACTGTAAACATTCTACCCACAATACGCATATCAAAAATTTAGAATGATGACATCAGATTACTTTTTTTTCCCCTACCTCTTTTATTGTACAGATGAGGAAACATCCAGAAAGGTTATAAGGCTATTTAGGGGCCGAAGCAGAATTATATCCAACTCCCTTCCCAGGGCTCTTATACTCCACACTGATGATTTCTTGTATATCACAGATTCGTGAAACTATCACAAATAGGAAACCAGAAAGTTTACCTAAGGAAAACAGTGTGCAAGCATGTGTTACCTCCAACCCCATGAAAGACCACCAGTGATGGCACGGCTACTGTTGTCCCAAGGTTTTGTCAGGGTCGTTCCTATTGTAAGACGAGACCACATGACTTCCCTCCAGTAAGCTAACATCATTGATCAAGCTAGAGGTGGAGCCAGCTTTAGATTTTAAGGCTCCACCTTAAAAGGGTATACATTCAGGGACATATTCTTTTCATCCCTTGAAGCAGTTTTATTTTGAAAATCATTTTTGAATTTTTCTCAAATTCTTAAAATCTCCTTTGACAGCTTTGAAGATATTTTCTCTCTACTTTTTAGGAGAAGATGTCAAAATTATTCAAGAGATTTTATTCCAGATTTTGTGCACTAGCAAGAGAAAATGAGGGGAATTTTTTTTTTTTTTGTCGTTTGTTTGTTTAATGGTAATGGGGATTGGACCTAGGAGTGCTCAATCACTGAGCCACATCCCTAGCCCCCCCTTTTTTTAAATTTATCTTTTATTTTGAGACAGGTTCTCACTAAGTTGCTTAGGGCCTTGCTCAGTTGCTGAGGCTGGCTTTGAACTTGGGATCCTCCTGCCTCAGCCTCCTAAGTTGCTGGGACTACAGGTATCTGTTGCCGTCCCCTGCAGAGCTGTCTTGTTTTAATGTAATAGCCCAGTTAGTGGTTTTAGTTCAGGTACCTGAATATAAATTTCTAAAATCCCATTGTTCATTCATTTCTGCCTGGAGCAGTCTAATGACATCTACCTTCCATATACTATGTGGACAGTGATTTAAAGGTCTAGCTCTTGCATAACTGGTTTAGGGATTCTATGGCAGAATCTTTCAGGTGAGCTGCTTGTCTTATATAATATTAGGAATAGTTTATTTTCCAGGGAAGGTACTTCTAGGAATGGTGCTTATGTCCTTGAGGAAGGAAACCATAGTTCTCTCCAATGTGTGAATTGAATACCCTTGACTTTATGTCTCAGTATCTAACTACCACATGTTCTTCTTAGACAGAAATGCAGTGCATTAAGCAGGGAGTGACTTTCTAGCATGCTCCCAAGCCAGTTCAGCAGAACTGAGTTTTGAAATCACATGTGTCAATCAGGTCCCAATATGATTATAATATGAATCACTGTCCAAATGGGAATATTTCAGATTGGTTTTCAGTGCACCACCAGGTGACTCATAATGTGAGCTTCTATTCAAATAAGTAGAGTGTCAGTCAGCAACTAATAGGGTTCACTCTGAGTCACAGCTTAGCATTCAGTACAATAAGTGTGAGTGAGTCACTGACTACCACAAGCACCATCTGAGATAGTCCCTGAATGCTACCTTGAGCTGCTAGGAGCTTAAAAGTTTAGATGATGCTGCGAGGCGTGAGTCAGTTCATAGTACAATCTGATGGGCTCTTGAAAAGGCCATTCACAATAAAGTTTGATGCAACTGAGTGCTGAAGATATTATTACATGATTAGGAATTCAGAGAATAGATTACCTTGATTCTAATATGGCTATTTGCATGGGGGAATCATTTGTAAAAAATGAATACTATGCTCAATTGCCCAGCAGTTATATTTCACATGAATTATTTCCAGAGTTATTAAATCCAGTTGACCTTTACGGTTTCTAGTTATTAGTTTCACTCTATTGTAAAATCCAATTTGAGTCTATATGCCCACAAGTTTGTGCTGCTGCTCTAAGGCTAGTGGTACTTGGCACTGCTTCTTCATCTTCTTCTCCTCCTCCTATGTGTGTTTGTGAGTTTTCTAACTCTGAGTTACATCCTCGGGCCTTTTAGATTTCTTAATATTTGTAAAAGTCTCATTAATAATTAGGGTGGCACACACTTGTAATTCCAGCAACTCAGGAGGCTGAGGCAGGAAGCTTGCAAGTTCAAGGCCAACCT